CCTGATATCACATTAAATAAACAAGAACTGGCATTAACACGCGTCGTATCATTCACTTTGATTGTATCTTCAAATTGAATGGAATTTCTAGAAGCCGTTTTATATAAAATGATTTATTGCTAATTTATAAATGTTGGAGTTAAGCAAAGAATACGTTTTTTGCCAGGTCTATTTAAACATGCAAATCTCGAATTACGGGCAAAAATGATATTTGTATTTTATCGAAATCTTCTGAAAATTGGTCTAAATATTATCTTTGAAATTCTTTACAGGGGAAATGGTTCGAAGCTCTTCAAATTAAAAAAAGTCTTCAAAAGTTAATTACATGAGTTTTTTTGTATTGGGTGATTACTAATACGTGATAAAGGAGAATCGATTTCTAATTTCACGCTAAACATAGGTTCACCTACCCGGGGTATATTCATCTATAATTAAAGTTGAAAATAGGCCATTCGTACCTGCCGTGATATCGCCAACACTTTGAAATATAACATATCTTGTATTATATGTTTGTAAATATCTGAAAACACACCTTGAATGTTAATTTTGATAGCCTTTAATCAAATAATCGACAAGAAAGAAAGAAAATATCAAACAACACTTAAATGATTTTCCCTATGGAAACTGGTCCATGTGCAGAGGGTTATAGATTCGATCACCTGGTTCAGATATATGCCAAAATTAAAAGATCAGATACCAGGTTATTATTATCATTATCATTATATTGTTGTTGTTGATGATGTTGTTGTTGTTGTTGATGATGATGATGATGATGATGATGATGATGATATTATTATTATTATTTTTGCTGTTGTTGTTTATGTTGTTGTAATTGATGATGATGTTGTTTTTCATAATTATTATTAACATTAGTAATATTATTGTTATTATTATTTTTATTATTATTATTATCATTATTATTATTATTATTGTTGTTGTTGTTGTTAATGGTGATGTTATTAATGATGTTGTTGTTGTTGTTGATGATGATGATGTTGATGTTATTAATTTTGTTGTAGTTATATATATTATTATGATAATCACCACTATCATTACAAATGTATTACAACATACATGTAATATATATGCACCACATCTTTTTGCTGTAGGTTCAAATCTGCTCACAAAAGTTGCTCTCTCGTCTTCGTTTCCAAGCTTAAGCTAGAGGGGTTCTTTTAGGTGCTTGCTCGTGTCTAAAATAATGCCAAGTTTTCATGCACCAAAGTTTTTTCAGTGTCGGTGTGTTTAAAACCTCAACAAAAATATATTATAGGAACCAATTCTGATTCAAGTAACTGGTCTTAAATCTCTTTTATCATAATTGTCCGTCTTTCTGTCTGTCTGATGGAAATTTATTAATAAGGTGAAAAAGTTAATCATAAAAAAGTGTTCCCATACTTCTTGTTCAGACACTGGTTTGATATGAGAGTTGATAAATCAACTAATTTACATAGTGTATATATCACTAAATATCCATTTGTACGTTTAATTGCACATCAATTAGTTAATATGACAGTTATGGGACCGTTTAAACAGCCCGATTGAAATTAAAATTCCACTTTTCTACAATTTCAGAAGAAAATTATATCTAACTATACGCCATTTATCGACTCAATTAATCATTTTATTCTTTAGATAACTGCGAGAACCTGTGTAATTAGATTCTCAGGCAATTAGGTTTTAATTCTTCTTTATATACTCCCATCTTATTACCATTTAATGCTTTAACCAACTTTGTTATCACATAATCCTATCGTAAGAATCCCGCTTTTAAAAGACCATTTTATGAATATTTATAAATATAATAATACAAAATAGTTTTACATTCGTCAACCTGATGTATTTTGACCTTTTCAATTAATATCTCTGTAAAGATCAGGATTTATATAACTAGAAGTGGTTAACCACATTATTTTTTGAATAATTTCTACTTCAAGCATAATCAGGGGAAAATGCATTAATTTTAAAAGATAAATTTTGCGCTGTAATTTATTCTGGCCGTTAAATAAGGTTGGTGGGGGGGGGGTCAATTTGAGAAAAAAAACGTACATATCTATTTAATACTTTTAATGAGTATAAAGTTATTTCTTCAAAACTTTTGAATTTATTTATTAGAACATAACACTTTTTATTTTTGATACCCAAAGGATCGTGTAAATTTCTTCACTACAATTTTTTTAAAGAAGCCGGTTTTCCTTCTTAGATATAATGAATAAAATGCGTGGCAGCGTCCACTATTCTGACAATATCTAATTGTTTAAATTGACGTGGATCAACAACAACAACAACAACAAAAAAAAAACAAAACAAAAAACATTATATAACTTAGTAATTGCAAACTAGAAAATAAGAAAATATACATTTAACTAAGTCGGACAAAATGTTATATTATTGTATTATTTGGCGTTCGTTAATAAATAGGTTAATGTTACATAAATGAATGTTATTTGTTCAATGTTTGGCGGTTCACGGAATAATAATTATGCATTTTCATTATATGAATTACGTAAGCGACATGATAATGCCGACGTAGAAGAAAGTAGACAGTTCGTTTCGGGACCATCTTACAAATAAAACTGTTTTATATATTACCACCAATATATCATTTCGCTCCTGACATTGAAAGGTCTTTCCTCTTGAACTTTTAGCACATAACTGTATCATTTCCAAGCATCTATATTTTCATGTTTGCTTATTCTTTTCTACATGTACATTAAAAAGCCCGATTACAACGTTTAAAGTAGACCTTTATATGTTTATATAAAAAGTATCACGAGTTGAAAGGGTTGGCCGGAATTTGTGGGTGTATTTCTTCTGTTGCGACAATTTGTACGCTGTAGCGCTGTATCATATTTCACAAAAACACATTTGGCTAAAATACCATCCCGCACTATTTATTTTGTAATGCGTAGCCGTCAGATCTCGCAGTTTAACGTATGGTATCCCTTGCATGAGATTGACTGCAAATAAAATTTGACTTTTAAAATCGGAATCACAGTGCATGAAATAGATCTAAATGAGCTGTAATAATACACTCGTCACATATCCAACGAGCCCAATCGATTTATTTATCGTTACCGGGTAGTTATTAATAATAATAATATGACTTTGATAAGAGTTGATTCAGATTTCAAAAGGAAATCGGTGTGATTTTAGAATGTTATGATATATAATTTTTATACCATATATACTGAGTCATTCCATCATCGCCTCTTTGAACTTTGATTACGTTTTACACGGTGAATAGCAGGAGGCCGTTGGATAATAGCCCCTAGTCGCTAAGTTATAAATTTCATGAATTATGCGAAATATTATGTTTTATCTTTTTCTTCATTTTTTTTTCAAAAAAGGAGAAAAAAAAAGATTTTCACCGGCGTTTTTAAATGCGTGCGAAGTTGTCATGATTAATAGCCGATATAGATATAACTCACCGATATATTTTAAAATTAAGAAAATGATAATAATGAAAACTTTGCTCTCTCTCGAAGAACAGTGTTATGCGTGGTTTGCATATTTCTTCTGTAGATAATGTGCATACACTAGAATATTGGTAACTGAGAACGTTCAGTCTTATTATTTTTCTAAATATCGATGATATATTTGATCCATACATTGATTTGGAGTTGGATGTTGAGTCTGTTACAACAGCGTTCTTTTCCTTAACCCCGCTAAAAATCTTAAATGAACCTGACCATTTTCCAATTTGGACAAAACCATCCAGCAATTTCGGGTAAGTTTCAAAATATAAACTGAATGAATAGCGGACAGTTCCGACCATGACCAGACGACACGGAGGTTTCGGCTGATCTTTGTCTGCACTAGTCGCATGGATAAAATATGTTTTGCTGCCAGCAGTGAAAGGAATGATATAAATAAGAATCGATTTCTCTTTTGAAGTCTTTTGTATGGCAAACATTTTCCTGTCCAATGTATATTTGTTTTATTTTTCTTTTAAAGAAAAACGTGAGTAAAAATCTATATCTATATATTGAAAGAAAAAAAAGTTTTGTTTTTTTTTCATCACTCACATTTACAATTTTAGAAGAGACGCCAGTATTTGATCATGGAGATATTAAGCGCCAGTCCTTTTCTGTGTAAAATGTGTTTTAAACAATGTTAAAAACATGTATAAATAAATCACATAATTACATTGTCACGTAAAAACTCCTATTTAATTAAAATAATTGTGCGTAAGATTTTTTTCCTCATAACATTAAAATGCATTCATTGTTAAAATGATAAAATCATAACGGTTCCAAAGAACATTCCAATTTTGCAAAGATATTTTGAATTTAAGTTTATGTGTATTAATTATAATTATAATGTCATGGATTTGTATTATATTATATAAACACGTTATTTGTTCATTAGAATCCTTAATTTGAAAATGCGCTTATTTTCCTATATTCCATGAAATATAATTTCTTTACAATTCGTGTAATACAGTTTTTCTATATTTCGTGAAATATATTTTTCCTTCATTCAGTGTAATATATTTTTTCCTACATTTCGTGTAATATATGGCGTCTCTGCAAAGAAGCAATGTTTAAATCAAATGGCGGAGGGATACATTATAGATACAAATGCAAATCACTTAAACATCTGCAGTAATAGAGAATTGATTAACGCATTTTATCTTATGACTATACTATTATCTTTATTTATGTATACACAGATTAGTTTGCCAATTTTAGCGTACGAATGTGTTTGCAAAAGAAGTGGGAGGGGGCAGGGGGTATCGAGGAGGCTTTCATTTTCAGAAGAAAACGGCGTTGACTGGTGCACTAATTATGAAAAGAAGATTCGATTTACTGTCAAGCAAATTGTAAACATGTCACTTATCGGAGAACGTGACTTGTTTATTTCAGAACACGTTTTAATTTTTTGACTAGGGAATTAAAATTGATGAAAATCAAACTGTTTAATGATATCGGGAATGCTCCCAGTAAGTTATTTAAATGATAAGAATTTCATTTCCAGAAATAACAACTTTTATAAGATTTGAAATTATATATAATTTATTATCTTTCAAAAACAACGCTAACAAATATTCATAATATGTTTTATAGAACACATTTCTATAAATACACAATATTTCTTCCGTGAACACGAGGAAACCAGATTCTAGCGATCTGAATACTGGAGAACCGTCGAGGATGCAAATTTAATGCCAAGATTCTTCTCTCTCTCTCTTTCCCGATAAAACGATCGGTTAAAGTTCAAGGTCATTTATAAATGTGTAAATGACATTTTAATAGCCTTCTATTCCTTTCTTTCCAGAGACAAAATCATATTTTGATTATTCTTGTTACTGCCATAATGCTGTGGATGATTTTATCATGGAAAGCTGCTAAGAGAAGTTTTTCTTTTAATAAATATATCATTTTCTCCCCGCAAGCATGTACTCGAGATACCGTAAAGTAATCGTCAGACTTATAAAATCCGTCTAAATGTCACGTGACTAATGGTGATACATGCTCGTTGCCGGGTAGGAATTATAAGAAAAGGGACCAAAAGGATTTGCTATAATTTGAGACCGTCCAAGATGAGCACCGTACAGCGCAGCTGCAGCCGGAAACGTAATACCAAGTGCTGGAGGTAGCATCGGCTTAGCGGCCATTTTTAATTTTTCTATTTCCGCTTCATGAAGTCTCTTCGCTTTGGCGCGTCGATTTTGGAACCAAATTTTAACTTGTGTTTCAGTTAAATTTAAAGAAGCACTAAATTCTGCACGCTCTGCTATAGACAGGTATTGTTTTTGTCTAAATTTCCTTTCTAGCGCCAAAAGTTGAGATGTCGTAAAAGGAGTCCTTGGTTTCCGGTTGGTTTTATGTTTTCGTAAGGTACATTTTTGTGGATTTATTCTTTGGGGGCTAACAGCATCTGGAAATAGAAGAAAAATGACCATTTGAATAGAAGGTTTACATATATGCTATATACAGTATTTTCAACTTTTTGTTTTTAGGATATTTTAGGTTTCTCTAGCAGAAAATTGCCAATAGAACGTACTTGTACGACAACACAATAAAGTCTAAATTCCAACACGATTGTTAACTATAAAATACGTCGAGAGAAAAAAAAATATTGGAACGTTTTACGACTTTAGAGTATCACTTTTTCAAAAGCATTCAACTCAAAGACGAACTTTTTGAAAGTAAATTTGATGATGACGATATGCAGTAACTCATGGCGGAGCCTTTTGACGCGTGCAGTATATTTAAATGATAAACATTCGACATTTATTTGCATAAAAAAACTTCTGTGCAAAATAATCAAGATATTAGTTTGAGACAAATTACGTAATTTGTTTATATTTTACCAATGTGCCGACAGATAACTATCACTTTATCGTCCGTTGCCAATTAGCGTGAAAATTATATTTCAACACCCCTCTTGTTTAATATGGCTTATCGGTAGATGCTGTAATTGCTTTTATCAGTAGAAAGTTTACTAAATATACGGATATTATTTATGTTAGTTTGGATATGTTTTGATACTAAATATAAGCCGTGAGTCTGGTTTTATATGACTGCCTTTCAAAAAAAAACCCACTAAAAGTAATTGAACTAAATATATTTTATCATTTAAAATACATTTCTTCATTTTTTTTATTGAATGAAGGAATTTACTCAGAAAATAAACGTTATCATCATATTTGTATGTGTGCATTAGGAATGTTTGTTTTAAGCAAAAGTTTGACTTCTCAAGTAGTTGTAGTCATTTGATAATTATTTTGATTCATCATCTTCATCATAAATTATCATTAATATATGTTAATTATCATTATTTATTAATATAATTTTTATTATCATTATAATTATAGTTATTATCATTAATATCATTATCGAGGCTATCACTAGTATTTTATATAATATATTATTTATATCATGATTCAATAAAAAAACAAAGAAATCAAATCTGGTTTTATGAAGGAAATTTGTACACGTTTTATTTTAATATCTTTCAGACAATGTTTGATACAGATATTAATCAAAAGCAAACATGATTTATTTATGATTTTTTTTCTAAGATAAAAAGAACCAAGTTTTTTTCAATAAGACGTATATAAAGTAATATTTGTATTAAGCCATATTTCTTATCATATGATACCAAATTATAAGACTAGTAAGTTTTATTATTATCTACAGTCTTTTTTATTCTAATTTTGTGATAATGTGCTATTTTCCATTGTGACATCAAATCATATGTACTATTTATTTATGTATATGTATAATGATTATGTACTTATGTACAAGTCTTGAAAAAACTGTTTGTTCTATTCTGTTTTAATTCATTATGTTTAATAAAGCTTACTCCAATATTTGCCATGTATGTACCATTGAATCTAAGTCTTGAATGATGCTCATAAGCGTGGTTCGCAGACGCTTGTAATTAGGGTGTTTCTGTTCATATATACCGGGTAATTGGACCGACATTGCCAATTCATTTTCATTTGGTAACCAACCATTATTTGGGGTAAAAACTACCTCTTTGTAGCGCTTAAGTAATTGAGCCTTGTTAGTCTGATAAGTAAATGGCTTGTTGGATAAATAACATAATTAGAAGCTGCACTGTTTAGGCCATGTGGTTACTGGTCAATATCATTAACACACTGTGGTTAATTTGTTTCGAATCTTTAACATAATTGAATTAAGTGAAAATAAACCCCAACGCCACAGCAAGTCAGATAAATCTGGCCGTTTAGATGTCCATGCCATGACTTAGCCGCTATGAAATTCTTGCTAAATTACCCAGTTGATGAGCTTTGAAAGGGTGATAAAAGATTTGAACTCGAATTATTGCCGGGAAAATCTATGAGCGTTATCGGTAGGGCACCGCAGATACGAGATCGCGCCGCAGAATATGTCTCTTCAAAATGGGAGCTTCGGATGAAAGTGTCAGAGTTGTGTCAAATTATAGCTTTAATTGTAATTAAATAAATCATGCACTAACTAGTGCTATCATTTATATGCCACAGTGTCATGAAATGGCGGGCTAATGATGTAGTCTTGATAGATAGCGAGTCAATAAAATCGTTATTAGATTCCATGGAACTCTTTGATGCTAGGAAATTAACAATTTCACAGCCCTTGGTTGCTAAAATTAATTATAAATTACCGATTTTGAATAAAAATGTATATTTTTGTAGTTCATGAAAGTATTTCGTTATTTGTACTATTGTAAGAAATGGTATAATATGTTTTTAAATGTTATAATTGTTTTGGTCATGAATTATATAAACTGTTGTTCAACTACGCGAATAGGTTCAAAAGATTAAGAGTGTTTAAAATAAAAGAAAGTGTACTATTTTAAGTCATCTTTATATTAATAAGATAATTTTCATAGTTTAACAAACGTGAATGTGGACACATTGTAACACTAAAATGATAATATAAAAATTGTAATTGAGTCAAAGTTGAAGAGGCTACACTTTCCGACTTATTTTTGAAAAATGTGTGGTTGAAAATGTGAAACTCTTCCGATGGAAACTAGAAGTTTTGTGTTTACTCTAATGTGAAAAATAAATGAACTTTATCATAGAAAGCGTCGAAAAAAGCATTAAATTCATGAAAGCAGCTTTTAATGTTACGGTTATTTTAGATTGATCGTTCATTTAAAATTCTAAATACTTTCAAATTCAAATATAGCTTGATATTTTCACCACACAGAAGAAAGTAAATTAAATTTAATAATGTTTGTATCACTGGTTTGTAAATTAATTTTCTAGGTGTTTATCATTTTGAATTATTATATTATCATTATAATAATATGAAGTGACGAAATAGCAGACTTTATCCGCAATTTTTAAACAATCAAACTAAATTGATAGATTTTCATGGTCGTTTAGATGCCACAAACCAGTATGCTGAAATAAATTTGCGTTTTTTTTATGAAAACTGTTTTTTTTTTCCCTAAATTCTTCAAAGATTGCAAATGTGTGTTTTCTATTTTTGTATTTTTTTTGATACCACTAACAAAATATTAGAGTAAAAAATTGTTATTTGTTTGTTAACATTAGAATATGTCACTTAAGAACATAAATGTAAGTTTAATTTTGTGTAAAATGTCCGAATATTTCCATCTTTCTATGGGAAATATTTATGATATTTAAACTTGAACTCTTAATTTACGTCTATGTTTTCCTACAAAAGAATATTCAAGAAACCGCCTTTGAATATTGACAAATATTTCCACTAACTTTATTTGTATATTATAAGATTTTATATTTTTAAAGTTCAAAACTAATTTATTTATTTTTCATCAAATTCACATTCTCAACATAATAAATGTGTCCTAATGATTTTGAGGACTCTAAAAGCTTACAAAGATGTTTTCACCTGAAAAAAACCCCTAAAAATCTTGATATATGTATACTATTTTTGAAAGAGATTTGATTTTCATTTATCATTAAGTAGAATTAAAAAAAAAACTACATATAACTATTGTAAGAATATTACAAATGCTGTAATTTTCGGAACAGAAAATTAATATATATTTAATATTCATTACAATTTGCAATAACAAAAAGTGAAAAAAAATGTATGACAGTTGTACTACAAATAGATTTTTCGAAAGTAGAAAATTCGCGGACCATCATGTCTGATTACTTTGTAGCAAAAATAGTTGTAAAATACTTCTTTAAATTGTATTCGTTTAATATTTATCTCCTTTAGCTTACATGATTTTATTTCTTTATTTTAATTTTTGTTTATTTTAATCGCAAAATTAATTAGAATGAATGATTAGATATAATTATAACAGATATTGTCGAATCCAGCGAAAAATGTCTTTTATTTCAAAATGAAATAGTCAAATCGAAATATAATACACAGTAGGGGTCAAAGAAATCATGAAAGTCCAGATAAAAGTTTCTTTAAGAATTTAAATAAAACACAAATGCATACAATATATTGATATATAAATCATAAGATTCCTCAGTCTGATTAAATCAAATTAGTTTTTTTTTGCTTGTTGTTGTTGTTGTTGTTTTGTTTTATACTGAAACGTTTTGTTTCATACTGAAACATATGTTACTGATTTCTAATTGGGAAAATAAGAAAACAATTAAATTAAATGGGGAAACGTTTAAAGCAATTATCAAAAATGATAACAGATTGTGCTCCGTACATTCATAATAATATATATATTTTTTTATTTCATGAAATCACAAAGTTATCTGCGGTAATTTTATATTTACATATTGGTCTACTTCTAAAAAATGTATTGTTTTACACTAGATATTCTACCTGAAGATCATACAGATGTATTTGTATTTTTTTCTACAAATCTACCACCAATTTTCAGTTCATTCTAATATTCCTAAACTGTTACGCTAAGTCCCTATAGCATATATCTCATTAAATGCACACAACACTTCCGTAAACTGTATACCTAACAAGTATTTTCCCACCGTTGAGTGGCGTTAAATTTCAAAACCATATCATAAAATAATGCGAAAAGATACATAAGAAATTATTATCATTTCGCCTCTCTATAAATATTACGCAAACCCACTCAAAGGAAAGGTGCCTCTCTTTAGAACATGTGTGTTTTATGCGTGTAATGTGTGTTTCTTTTAATGATTAACTACTAAGAAGGCAGAAAAATATGTGCGAAAATCTCATAAAGTATCATATGATATTCATATAAATTCTGTAATTTCAGACAATGAAAAACCTCAACTGATTTAATCTTAATAGGAGTTAGATATATCTAGAAATCTCGTACTCTTGGGTGTTTTATATTTCTTTGACCTAAATTACGAAACACAAATAAAACTTTGGTACTTAATCTAAAAAAATCAAGAATCAGGAATAAAGTCCTTAGAAAGGCAGTCACTTATCAATCAATTGAACATTTACTAGAAAGGTTCTGGTAGTATTTCATAATTTTATTCTAAAATTTAATTATCAATGCTTAAGTGTTAATTTGCTGGTTAAATTCAATGAAAAAATTACAACAGATCCGTCATAGAATTATTTTTCCCATAAAACCAACATACTTAGTTTTTTTTAGTTATGCCAACACACTTTTTATAATGAACTGAATTTTATATTAAAAAACTTCAAAAATAGATTCAAAAATTGCTCATATTATGATTGAAAGCGAGCAGAAATTAGGTAAAACTTTGATTGGTCGATTTTAAATAACAATACTTATTTATCATATACAATAATAACAATATTATTCATTATAATGTGGGTGTATAAACAGAAATAATTTCATATATTAAGTATAGATTTGTGTTCATAGTAAGCATTTATAACAATAAATTAGTCAAGAACGACGCACCCGTTGGACATATATAATTTTTGTAATTGCTTACATTATATGAGCACTTACCAATTTAGTGTTTGAAATTATTTTTTTATAAACAGTTTAATACAACTGTTTAATACACTGATAAATAGAAGAAGATTTACCAAAGCAAATGTGTTACGATTCATTTGGCTTACTGCAATCTTATTGAACAAAAATAATTTCAAACACTAACAAAAAAAAGATATGTTATAATTTACATTTCACATATGGTGAAATATATGTGAAATATATACATAAAACGATTACTGAGTCATTTTAAACTGTAATTTAAAACAACATTATTTACGCTAGTAAACAAAATGGCATTTCACGCTTCATCCATGATATATATACATATTTTACAAGTTATAATAAGCGAATATGTCCCCATCTGTCGGCATGTTTTAAAGTCGCTGTATCAAAGTAATGATATATTGCCAGTATAATTTAGATTCACTCATCAGATAACGAAACTATCTCAATATAAATCTCGTTCAGAATCTATGTATTTCACTCAATGATATATATATAAACTATATTAAAAAATGAAGTAAGAAAATATCGGAATCAAAATTTGTACTATTTAAGAGCTATACTTACTAGGAGGAGGCGAAATTCTTGATGATGGAAGCCAGGGGAAACCGGCACCAACTGTCAGACCCCCGGGCCACCTCGTTTCATGTGCCGGACTCGGAACATACGCTGGGCTTGTTGTTGGATCAGATTTGTGAGACACTGGCGGGGTTTTCCCTAATATCTCATCCATACTAAATGAAGATATATGAGATTTATGATGTTCCTGCGGTGATGACGTCGAATGGGGACTAGAACTGTCTGACCGTGGTGAAAGATTCAAACTTGTGTCCGAGTCACGGTCTCTATCCCTAATAGGCGAATGCGCCCTATGAGGTGATCGCTGTTCTGGTTTTGATCCCTCTTTCATAGAGTCCGTATGTGGACTGTGTGATATAATAGAGTCCACGCCAAATCGTAATGGCGTTTTAAAAGAAGAATTATTTTCAGCAAAATTAACACGTCCATTGCACATTTTTGTGTCACTGATATCCGGTGAAAGCCTGTCGCTGCCACAAGGGGATGACATTGGTGATATATCTTTCTTTGAAAGGTCCTCAGCAGTGTTTTCAACGTCAATCGGCGAACTTGAACGTGGTCGGCTAAATGCCGACGACCTGCTTATAGCCAAAGATATCGGCTGCATTTTGTCCATATACATTGACATTCAACAATAGTACAATATCCACTAAACAACAATATGTCCTGTCATGTAAACGTATTTTTAAATCCAAACACGAATGATTTGTCAGTTCAAAGATTGTTTAACTTTTTCTTCAACTGATTAACTTAGCCTTCTCCAACAGAAGTCATTCCTTTTAAACGGATGTGACGTCACGCCCCGTTCCTCCTCTGATTGGCCAATCAGTAAATTAGCCGATAATGAGGTTCGGGTTGCCGCTTTCTGAGTGGCTGGAGTTAATATCGGTTTAATTTATCGTTGTTACTGACAGGAAGATCGGAAAGCGTAAACAAATCAGCAAATATTAGGGTCGTTTGCCTCTTATGAACTACCGAACCGTTCAATTGTGCGTTATTATAGATGAATAGTATGTTTTTTCACTGCTCAGCTTCTTTTTGTTGGTATTTTGTTGTCTTTTAGTTCGCGGGATTCTGTGTATCAAGTTTTCCCGTAATAACAGTGTTTGGGCAAACGTTAAAACTATGAATAGGTTTATAAATTGAATTTGTCTAAGCAATCAGAAAAGTTACAAAAAGCCCGCTCCTGAATGGAGGATCATTATTCAGCAACCTCCGTGGAAACTAATTTAGTGGGTTTACAAATTCTTTACACCCGGGTGGATAATAAGGGGTCTTGTTGATTATTGTAGCAGAGGCGCCAGGCAACGTAAAACCTTAGACACTAAGGGCATCCGATTTTTTTCATACATTTACAAACGATTTTGTTCATTAAGCATTTCTGTGCCTGTATATTTTCAATGATCTAAGTCCTAAAGTCATATAAATACAATTTATGGCAGAAAAGTTGATTTAAATGATAAAAAAGTAGGGAAAGAATCGGCCCTAGCGCTATCTTCTGGCTTGGAACTTTGAAGGAACTTTCAATTAATTCCAATTTAACATTTAATAGCTTGTCATTACGACATTTTCTTAAAATTTGTCCCATTTAGAAAGAAAACTATTGGTTAAGATATAGAAAATATACATTTATATGCAAATTGTTTGTTAACAATATGTCTGAAGAAATAAAATTCTGGCCACAATGATAAATTATGCAATATCTTTTAACCATTTAATATGATAAACATAGACACTTAGTTTAAACATATTTTATTTCATAATCATACAAAGTACATAATATTCATTCAAAATATACAATGTTGAATTGGATTAGAACGAAAGATATGAAATCCGCCGACTCTATCTTAAATTTACAACAAAATGATGGCATCAATCTACTGAGACAATGTGTATGAATTCATATAATATGATATGTGGGAAAAAACTTAAGGATACATGTACATACATATTCAAACATATAATATTATACATATACGTAAATACATGCTTCTTATTATTTTTTTTTTTATATCTTAAGTATTTTTTCTCGTGTGATGCTTTGTTGGTACCGTCATATATTTAAATACGTTTGGATGAAGAAAATAAAAACAGCATTTGTATCAGTTAATATATGTTTATTTATGTTTATTTTCTATATATGCCTAAATTCATGTTATTTTAATTGGAACTCGCAATTTAGTGGTATTTATTTTTGTAGTATATACATTGTATTTCAAATCTATTGTTACTAAACATGGCATGTATATAGGCCATATTTAGAAATATATTTCATTTTGTGCAGATAAATTATTAAGTATATTCATGTAATGTAAAATACAAGGGATAGATAAAATTAAAATAATTAATTATGTTGATGTCCACGGTCGCCATTTTGACAGTATTTTTCAAAAATATAGACTGATTGAAGATGATTATTTTTTTATTTCTTCAATCATTACCAATAAATTCATTAATCACATTAAATTAATTTGTTTTATTCAATACATCGTTGACATCTTCATTATATGCGTAATCGCTAAGGGGGTTTCTGCTTTATTTCTTTCTTTTGAATGTCGTAAAACGTATATCCACCTATTGTCGTAAAATTCCCGGAAGCGTTTTAATTTGTGACAGTTATCTCTTTATTTATTTATTTTGATAAAATCACCGCCATATAAGATCGATTTAGGGACCATTAGGTCCTGATTTAAGGCTCTTAATGACAGAAAGTTTAAATATTACAAAAGAAAGATCATAATCTATTTCAATTGTCGGAGATTACAAGCAAATGACAAATGGAAAATTAGATAATGTAAACAAATCCATTGTCATTATCATTATCATTTCAGTAATCGTCATTATCATATGTTTATTATCATAAGTGTTGAAGGCATATTGGCGAGACGAAATCATTCGCGAATTAAAACCAATAATGTATACATTTTTCAATTGCAATATAAGATAATTAAGTAATTAGAATAAATATGTTTTCATTATTTCGTAATATTTAACAAATTAGTACATTTCCGGTTTCTGCAAAGAATTTCCTCTTTCTACAATTAGATAGATTTTCCTCGGTTCTTTTTTCATATTCAGTAAAATAAGAATCATCAGGGTTTTGTGGTTTCGATTTCTTCTTTTTTTTTCAGGCGCCAGTTTTAATGCATTTATGTAGAAGAACAGGCTAGGAAGGACCCGCTGAAAAAAAAATCAAGTTATGTAGTGATTTTCTTGAATTTCTAATACAGATTATAAGCTACAATATCATACTTTGGAAGACGATATATTCGAAATTATGTATAAATTCTAGTATTCCGAACGATTCCGTAGCGTTCTGTTCAAAATATAATGAAATGGTAAAACTGCTATATACTTGAAAAAAGTTTGAATGTATAAATACGTTTAAAATTGAAAGGTCATATAAAAGGCCGTGTAGCTATGGAAAAACGAGGTTGTATATTAAAGCATGTATAAGAAGGAAATTTTCCACTTAGGCAAGTGATACACAATTATACAATTAATGTTGGCATATTCTTAATCTTAAAACATGAAAATGGCTATTTTAGTGTGATCACAATATAAGAAATAGCATACTTAGTATTTGAAACTAGAATTGCACGGAGTACGTGTAACAGCATATATTTTCTGTAACATTAGTAAGTTTTGGTTTATATATATACCATTTTTTGTTACACATGTATTTGTGATAAAGTTACTATATATGACACAAAAAGGCGTATAGAAACATTGTGTTCTAAAGTCAATAATAAAAGATATATTGTTACTTATTGAAAGTAAAGTCACAAGTGAAGTCTGAAAATTTGATGAAAATAACAAGTTTATAATAACGCTACTATCCGTGTATTTATTCAATATATGAGCTGCGTCACGACAAAACCAACATAATGGGTTTGCGACCAGCATGGATCCAGACCAGCCTGCGCATCCGCGCAGTCTGATCAGGATCCATGCTGTTCGCTTACAAACCCTATTACAAGGACAGAAACTGATAGCGAACAGCATGGATCCTGATCAGACTGCGCGGATGCGCAGGCTGGTCTGGATCCATGCTGGTCGCAAACGCACTATGTTGGTTTTGTCATGACGTGGCTCATATTTCCTGTGTAAGTGTAGCATACTCGTATAACGTGTTTGGAAACTTATGCTGCTTACACGTGATTCTATTACCATTGTAACACGACTGGAAAATGATAGTGGCTGTTGCTGTTGTTAAAATGTTTGCATAAAATATTGAATATATAAATGTTTGTACTTCCAATTTAGTGATTTAAGAAAAAGTATTATACATATAAACGTTTTATTAGAATTGCGTGTATACTTTCGTTAGAAAATATGACCAAATAAGATGGTTAACGCGTCGGACTAGTAATCTAAGGATTGCTGACCGCGTGTATTCAAACCTTGTCAGAGTTAAGCCGTTGGTTCCTTGAGCAAGAATCTTTACATTCATTGCTTAGTACTGGTAGGAACGGATCCGAGAACGATCGAACTAAATAATTTTTTATAAACTAAATAAAATTTTGACAAATCAATGGCAGGGTGTTAGAAAGGTTGATATAGCATACTTTATGTACATGATCGCTGACGATAAGGTTTTTAGCATCATTTACATGTTCACATGTAATGAAAACAATATTTGATATGGTTTTGAAATTTGAAGTCCTGTAACCCACACTTTAATTTAGGTAAAACATTTTAATACTGCTGTTGTGACGTCGCATCTAATAAAAATGTTTCTTGTTTAAAAATTTGTTCGAAATTTATAAAAATGTACTGAGCTTTATGTGCAAGAAAAATCCATTGAATCAATGTACCTATTTAGAAAAAAAAAACAAATTCTGATACGTGCTTATACCTCAAACCGAACAGTTATGACTCTTGAATTTAGATCATGAATACTTATTATAAAGATAGTATGTATACGTTAAAAAGCAAGCACAAGACGAAATGATATGTATAGTTTAGTTTATTCATGTATATTGAATATTTTGTTACCTTTGATATAAAAATTACGAGAGATTTCAAAAAAGCATTTTAAGCTTCCTACTCAATCCGTAAAATTTATTTTATGTACTTTATGTAAATGAAAGGATTACTAGTAGATATTGTTAAAACCAAGACAATTCAATACAGAGAATACATTTAAATTTATATTTAATAAATAACAAATTGTAATATTTTCATTTATTAATTCATTCATTCTATATGTACAATGGAAAAAAAAGAACACGAGTTTTCGTCATAAAGAATCTCTAGGACTATCTGATGTACATTTTTTGGTGTACATTAAATATAAATGAGCCGTGTCACGACAAAACCAACATCATGTGTTTGCGACCAGCATGGATCCAGACCAGCCTGCGCATCCGCGCAGTCTGATCAGGATCCATGATATTCGCTTACAAACTCTATAACAAGTAGAGAAACTGATAGCGAACAGCACGGATCCTGATCAGACTTCGCGGATGCGCAGGCTGGTCTGGATCCATGCTGGTCGCAAACCCATTATGTTGGTTTGTCATGACGCGGCTCAAATGTAAATAAAACAAGCCACATAACTAGCTTGAAGATTGCCTTATTATCACGCAATAAAACGAGAGAGAAAACGAGACTACATATTGTTTGTTTTTTACTAGTACGTTTTCTTGATACACGTTTTTGTAGGGGAATGAAAACTTTATCTATGCTAGTAGAGACATTCAGGTATGTGAAGTTGGCTTGTACATTGTACATCGTAGTTCAGCTAGTAATTCACCAATATTTG